ATTTTTTTTTTGCTGTGTAGGCTGTTAGGTTGGTAACACTGATTTGTGTGGATTTGACTGTCAGATTATCGAGTCAACCCCGCTAATCCAGTTACAAATTTGTCAGATTAGCGATGCTGTAGAAATCCAAAAGAACGGTAAAGTGCGGCGCACAATGTATATATCGATGATCGTACACAGAAAAAAAAAGTTGTTAAATATTACATCCAAACAGCTGCACAGAGATCATTCCGCCGGTTGTGTAATATTACGTTGTACGATGTACATCGATTTTGCGAACAAAATTACATCCATTGATGTAATATTGTATCTGCTTTTTGCTATTACATAATTATTTCATAGAGATTGCTAAAGTGTGATAGTGTCAGTGATTTGTTTTCATCGGGAAAATTTTCCGCTATGAAGTTTTTTTTCCCGATGAAAACATTTTATGTATTCGTATACGTCACGTAGTGTGCGTACGATAAACGTCAGCAATCTCTATACATCAGCTTGAATTACGTTGATCGATATTACAATTTTTTTTTTGCTGTGTAGTTAGGCCCTTATGACTCTTAACGCTAGATTTTTTCTGTCACAGGTTGATCGTCTTTTTACCCTTTTTACTTCCATGTTTATTTTGACATGTGCAAAAAAGGCAAAAAAAATCACGTTCCAGACATTAAATGGTAGATGTGGTAGAATTAGCGCGAAATCTGTTTGCATAGCAGTGGTTATGAAAAGAGAAAGTCGATGAAGAGAATCGATCAAAGCAGATAGGACCATTTGAAATGTTCATCGAGATTTGTAGGAGTTTGCTGGTGTTGCTGATGGACCAGGTTTTTGTTGATTCCGGTGAAGATTCCAAATGCTGCTACCGAAGTTTCCAGACGATCTGGACAGCAATTTCGACGGAGACAACACTCATCCGGGTACTAGTTTTTCTCGTAGATTGTACTCGAGGTACTGGTTATCGTTGCACAATTCCGGTAATTTTTTCCAAGTACTACGTTCTTCATTGTGAATATATCGGCATAATTAGTGTCGCTTTCCTTGGAAGCTTTATTGGCGTTCCAGCCTCAATCGCCCAGCTCGAAAAGATAAAACAGCTGATCCGTGTCCATCATTTCATTGACAAATTTTTTGTCGCTGACCACCATATTTCCCGTTTTAAGTTTTGAGTTTTTTCAGTCCCATGATCTCCTATATAAACTTTCGCGTGAATAGATAGATCGATTCGGTGAGCTCAATCCATGGCCTAGAGATCGGATTCCAATCGTGCTTCACAAAGATGACCGAGTCCGCTCCGTTTAGATTCAACCCTGGACCGACGGGCTGAGTCGTCAGCAGCAGCACATAAATGCAGGGATCACCTTTGAACTTTGTCGGGATTTTATGACGTGAACTAGTTGTGGCACCTCTATCCAACCGCATACAGGACACTGCCTTCAGGTGCATCTTCAGCAGATCATGCTCAATGATATCTAGCATGGCCATTAGCAAAAATGCAGATCGCCTGTAAGACATATCATCCCACAGGGAAGGTTGGTGATCCTGGGTAATTGTAATTTATTAATGTGAAGATTTGATGGGTGTGAAGAGATGCTCGAGGAAATCCTTGTGCTTGAGTTTGCGATCCTTGAGAGCTGAATTAGCGTGGCAACAACAGGTCGATACGATTCACTGATACTGAGTCGATCGACGTAACTTGGTCTACTTTGATTCTCCGTCATCTGCTGCCACAGGACTCGGCAGAGGATCGTTGAATTACAAGCAGATTTTGATATTGGCATGCGTGGCACGAAACCGCTGGGTATGGGCATGCTTGCGACTAGTTTCTTTATTTTCGTTGTGGATATCTTTGGCCGTTGGAGCATCCGAGATAACTGATGCTGACCCTGCCGGGGCCTCGAAAAGCATTAGGCGTGATCAGAGATGAACATCCCGGCGGCAACGACTAAGATTGTACCCAGGCCTGCTGGAGTGAGAGGTAATCACGCTTACCACTACACCACCGGCGGATTTCGACGTTAGCGAGTCAATTGTATAGGCCTATTCTGCGCCTCGAAAGAGGTGAGGTGACTCACTGTCACTAGTAAGGTGATAATGTGACACCATGATCTCAGATCTCAGCACTCCTACGTAGTTCGCTAGATTTTTACAAATTTAGCTGAACTTCTGCATAGTTTGCTGAACTTCTTCGAAATTTTCCGCAATTCAAGAAACGCACTAAATTTTAATGTTTATTTTTATATAAAGTCCTAAGCAACATTGGCATAATCTCTTCATCGACATACAAGTAAGATAAAAGAATAGATTATAGATTCTAGCATTATCTGTCAAAAAACCCGAAAACGTATGCATTGTGCGCCGGCCTTAAGGATTTTTGTTTTTGTTGTATAATTTTGGAAAATGGATCTGTCAAACATCCAAGACCTTGACAAGCAATGAACTGGATTACCGAGGTTAAGCAATCGGTTAAGTTGTGTGAGTAAAACCCCTGTGCGAGACAATAAATTCAGTGCCAACATTTCAAATGTCGTAATTGCGTTTGTAAACAATGGTTTTAGTCGTCGATTTCTTGCGAATGAAAGCTCACTCATAAAAATGAATGACACCAGCAGGTAGATAAATGTTTCGTGTACCAGCTAGCATTGGTAATTTGGAAGGGTGGGCTTTTATTTGCGAGAAATCGACGGCTAAAGCCATTGTTTACAAAAGCAATTACGCCCCTTTGAAATGTTGGCACTGAATTAGTGACGTTACTACTTGCGTTTACGTTGATTTTTACAAACGTTTACCTTTACTAATACAACAATATTTCACGATCTGCTTCACCTCTCTCTGTACGACATTACTCGACAAGGACTGGCATTCTCACGTGTCCATAGATAGTGAGCTCTGAAATAACGAAATAAACAGTGACCTGCGAACTTTAAATGTGATAGCAGGCTTTAGTGTAAGGTGCACTAATTAAACTAGAATAGAAGTCATCATAATTTACTATGAGACTTGCTGGAGAAAAGGAAATCGTATTAATGCTCATTTGTTTCTCAAAATGGCTGGCTACTTCGTTTTGTGGGAGGAAGGTTTGTTATGCACGCTAAGACAGGAATACCTAAAAGTCGGTAAAAAATAACGATAATCGAACAAAAGTGCACATACCTAAATAATCGGTAAACATCGATTACCTTAAATTAGGTATTGATGGTTGAGAATCGTTAACGTTAATAATTACCTATTTTGTAACGTTACTTTTTACCGAAAATTACGTTTTTTTTTCTGTATTATTGTTTTCTGCAATGCAATCGCGAGCGCTGCAGATGCTATTTTTAAGATATTTTTCGGATTTGATGTTGCATTTTGTACCCACTCAGAATTATAAAAACACGCAAGTATATTCAAAATCGTTGCAAAATACATTTTAATTGTGATTTTTGATTAACGGTCGTTTGGTCATGAATATCACTGATCGACCACTCTGCTTTCCTGGCTGGTTTCCGCAAGCCGTCGACAACTCGAGTACCTTTCCGGAAGGATTGCAGCAGCAGAAACAGGAACAAGCACTTGAGATGCCAGCAAGAAGACACGACGGGTGCCTGCGGGATGCTGAGGTGGGATTGACCTCTGATAGCTAGAATTGGATAATATAAGCAAAAAAAAAATATATTTTACCATGATTTGATAGTCTTGCGTACAAACTCTGGTTCGAACACATAAGTGAGGTTAGTTTTTGTTTGCAGCACTAGTCATTTTTTGTTATTTGCTTAGGATTATTAATAGGTAATTATACTCACAATTCGTATAAGTCGTCGTTGAAATTTAATTGAATTATTTGAATTTCGGTTTCATTCAAAAATTCTTCACACTCGTCTTCACATAACTTTGGAAACTTTCACTACAATTCACACAAACACTTGCCATCAGCGTTGCTGCTCGTTGCATAGTGACTAAATTTTCACCTAATTTTAGGTAAAAAATAAAGTAAATATTTGAAAACGCTCTTTACTCATAATATAAATAAAAAGTAACGTTATTTATCGGTAAATTTTACATATATTCTGGGTATTAGTATCAAAACCTAATTTTAGGTAAAATTAAAACCTAATTTTAGGTAATCTTATCTTAGCGTGTGTAGTAATGCTGTTATTTTATTCATTTCAAGACCAACAATTGAAATGGCCTTAACTCCATTTTGTAAACAAACCTTGTAAGGTCATTTTCTCGCGAACCAAAACATTCATTCGCAAACCTAATTTTTTTAAAGCGAGTTCTGTATGACGTGATCTTCACGAGTACTGTTGCTATCAGGAGTGGTTTTGTGGTCAATTGTCGAGATTCCATTTTAAAATTATATAATGCAAATGGTGGTTACTAATTTAAATATTTTATTAATTAATTCTATTTTTTTTACAGATACCGACAATACAAACATTGTCGAGAACGAAGCTCTGTCAGGTATTCAAGAAAGTGATGTTTTTTCTGACAGTAATATCATAGAGGTAACTCTAAGACCACTGGGTCCCGAAGAAAATCATTATTATTTTTGGCTCACTCAGTACCAGAACAACGGTCCCAAGCAGTCCCAAGCTATTTCACTCACCCCTGCATGTTCTGCATGAATCCACACACCCCTGATGTTATCTGTCAAACTTTCATAGCGAATCAAAACAAACATAGTGTAGTAATAGAATTTCAACTAAAATAGGGTACGTTAATCGTTTTGCTTGGGACCAATAGGCTACTAAAGTGGTGAGCCAATTTAAAATCGTTAGTTTCGTATTGATTGTTGGTAATATTCCTCTTGTGATGCAGTCTATGCAACCTCCACCGCAAATCATCGCCATGGTGCCTGGTGCTTCCCAACCATCTGGTTCAACGTGTTTATGGAATGTCCACCACCCGGTAGTAGTACAATCGTTGGAAAAATTACCTGATACCGTTGCTGTTGTACCTGGTATGACACATTCATCTGATGTATCACTGCAGGATCAGGACACGACTACAAGCTCTTCGCTTACTAAGGTCGACTCAGAAAGCGATCATCTCGACACGGTTTCTTCAGTCTTGCTGAATTCTGACCCGAAGGACGTGTTTTTTCAAGAACCAGTGAGTGATACTAACGATAATGTGCTTACACAAAACGAGAATCAATCTCCAAACAAATCTCAAAAAAGACAACCATCAACCGCTACGGCAGACCTCAAAATCACGAAGAGCTCGAAGAGACATGCGACCACTGATATGAAGTTTCGTGCGTTTGACATCAATTGGCAGAAAGTAAGTGATAGTATGCTACTGCGGCTGAAGAAATTACAAGATTTTCGTGACAAAAATCCCACCGGAACTGTTCCCCGTGAAAAGCAATTCCCAAAAAGTGAGTTGACAGCGTTGGCAAACGCGATTGTGGACCAATTAAGGGTCATAAACGTACACATTACTGCCAGTACGATGGAGGAAGTAGCGAAACAAGTGTTGTCTAAATACCCGTGTTTGAACTTCGTCGACGATGACGGTTTCGGGACCGGTCAAAGTTTTGTGGTATTAAAACACAAAATGATTAATAGAAAAACATATTTGAACCGGTACAAAGATTCAGACTCACGATCATCTGCAGCTGAAACTAAAAGAAACAGAAATGTGAAAGCTGGGACAATTAAAGAATATTGGGAAGTTTCGGCGGAACAGTGTTCCAAAGATATTCTTTCCAAACTGACGCGGGATGAGACTGGTGTTTTGACTGTGGAGTTTTTAACTGCATCGCAGGCCTATATTCGCTTCTATCTGGATCAACCGGAATCACTTAAGGAATTACTTGCCAGACTCCCCGTTCTTCGTCGTCGCCAACTGATTAGTTTTCATTTTGAGAAAGCAACTGGAGTTCAGCTTAACTCTCTCGAAAAGATGTTCCTTGCTAAACGAGCTAAAATCATCGATTTCTCAGGATCTAGCCGGCCAGCACTCGTGATGGATAAACATGCGACAGATTACGACATTCTAAAATTTTTGTGCTCCTCGTTAGGAGAAAACATAGTCCATCTGATCATTCAAAAAGAGGTAAACTTTACATGCGATTAGGACTTGCAGCTCAGAAAAGTAAATTGTTATTTTTTTCAGATTGGTACTAAAGTGGCTGATCTAACTACAGATTGTGCAGGACCAGTACTTGTTGCTGTAGGTAAGGAAGGAATTTAAGTTATATTCTTCAGTTACACCCTTAATTCTAGCCTTGATACTTTTTTTTTGTTAAATTTCCATTGTTCGAAAATGAAATCAACAGTCATTTTTTCAAAATGATGTATCTAATTTTGTAAACAACCACTTCAAGCGACGGTCTTAAATGCAAACATATTCAAGCAAACTAACACCATCATCAGATAATTTACCAGCTATTTTTTTTTTAAACTAATCTAGCACTTGGTACAATCATCGATTGCAGCGATTGTTAACAAAATCAGATACAACCATCTGAAAAGTGACGTTTGAAAAAAGCGATGCTGTAATAGAGCAAGTCCATCCGACTTAGCGATTAGAAAACTTCTTGTCGACGGTCATACCAAAACAAGTAGGGTTCCGAGACTATTTGTAACCTTCACTTCGGCAAATCAGTTTTTAAACAGTTGCGCAAATATGTTACTAACATTTTTTAGTAAGCTACGAAATTTACAGTAACATTGCAGGTGATAAGTTTTACATATTATCATTGATTTAAGGTCGTAAGACAGGAATTGAAATCGAACACAACTAACGCTAAACCCTATATTGAGCCATTTTGGCTCGACACGCTAAGACATTTTTGGTTCGACCGTTTTTTGTCAAATTAATAGACAAATTTCATGGATTTGCAGCCTTTTATAATATTACAATGCTATGTTCTATACGAATACTCATCTTGTTTTATTTTTCTTAACTATTCTTTCAGACCTGGGAAACGATAAACATGTATACTACGTGATGGTGGAACAGGTTCGGCTGACGGAAGGAACCCAAAATGTTGTGACTGCCATTGCTGATCTCCTAAGTGTACACTATGTGTATAATTTCATGTATATGAAACAGATATCCAAGTTTTTGGAGTTCGTTCAAGAATATTTTTGCAAAATCTTGCCGGTGTCTGGATCCAAATCGAGGGCTACAAGAAAAAGCCAGCAGCAACGCATGGTTAAGCGACTGATTGAAGGTATCTCTAGCCATACAGCAACAGCAAGTCTAGCCCGTCAGATAAACTGAGTAGTGATTTCCTACGTTAAATGACATTGTACTAATGAGTTTCTCACAATGTCCGAAGATTATAATTTTTCATAATCATTTTTAACCTATCTCCTCTGTTATTCCTAATATTGTTTGCTCAACAATCTCAAAACATTTGTATTGGTTGACTTTGTTCCGAATAAAATAGATGCCAAAATACAACGTTGAATGCAAAATCACTGCGTAATCTATCTTATAAGAAAATCAAACCCCTAGTGGAGTAGATCATTGCCTTCATCCATAAGTTACGGTTATGTAATTTTATCATTCCAACGCAACCCATAATTTTACAACCAATAAACAGGTAAGTAAGAGGTAATGTAATAATTATATAGCATGCCTTAATGGGGAGGGAGTATAGCAATATAGTAATATATTTGACGGCGTCACTTCTGGGAATGTATTTTATTTCAAAAAATACTTGGAAGCGCTGTGATGGAATGCAAATGGGGAGAAAGGAACAGTTCGAAATAAGCATAATCAGGGATAATCAGGATATCTTGCAAAGCCATTGATAGGGATGCAAAGGAATTGAAAATTAATGAATGGGATGGGAATTTTTTATGATTTTTTTTACTGACGGCGATACCCTAATAAAAACATACCATAACCGAATGGTAACCCAAATGATTAGACTATTCTACAAACGGTTTGGATGATACCCGGAACACGTCTTTAAGCAAAATTACCATAACAATTTTATTAGGATATGTATGCAGAATTTGTGGATATACTTCGGATGTAGATTGAAGATGCTTCCGGATAATACACAAATCTAGCAATAGTAGGTTTCATTGGTTTGGTATTCGATTGCTATATATTGATTTGGTGAAATCATTTAATCAATATAACTATACAACAGACAACTTTTGCTGTCTTTCTGACTATAGGTATGCGATGACTGCCTTTCAAAGGAAAATTATGTCTAAAAGATGTAAAATTGCAGGATTTTGAAAAACTATCAAAATCAGTAAAAATGAGCACCAGTGACAGAAATTTACGTCACGACATGTAAAAATATGTCTTCAGTTTATGGTTCGAGTAAATTTAAGAAAAGACGTAAATTTAGGTCGATTAAGCTGCTTCTTTTGAGTACATCTAAAAAGATTTAAATTTACATGAAATTTTTCAAGTGTGTATATTTAACGAAACGTTAATCACATTCAACCATTTCGTAATTACGAAACAACCCCAAGTTTCATGTATCTATTGTTTTTACGTTAGACCACGTTGAAAGTCTTACCAGTAAAATAGAGCTTCAAAGCTGGTAGGCTTTTCTGTGAACCTATCTCACTCCCATACCGTTCTCCTCCCAGAAGTCACTCATATTTTATTAGCATTTTATTACGCACGCATATCAAGCAATTAAATTTTGGTTCATTCTGATAAGTGCGTTGCGAGTCGTAATTTCCATTTTGGTTTTTATTTTCGCCCATTTTTCGTACACAGTTGAGCTGCGTAGCCAATAGCTTAATTTTACGATTCTACCGTATCGCATCGCATTGTTGTAACACTCAATCCGCACAAAAGGCTCCCATTTTCCGATAACTTCCCCGCCATAATACATCGTACTAATCGAAATTTATTCATCAAATTCGGAAGATGAGGTGATGAACATTTGAATATCTTGAACTGCTGCTAAATAGAGGATTGAGCTTCGGAGTTCATCCAATGCGCTATCGAACCGTTTGTTGTTCGGAGATAGCTTTGTTTGTTATTGTTGTTCAGAGGGTTCATAAAGATTGTATGGCGTTTAAGGGGTTGATTTACGCGAGCATCGCCACTGGGTACTGTTTGGATGGTTGAAATAGGTAATTTGGGTCAACTTTCGATTGAAGTTATTCGGTTTTCTTCCATCGATTGTTTCGGTTTCTTTCAATCTGCATTGTTCACTCTGGAGGTTCCCTTACTTAACATTAACTCATATTTAATTTTACAACTGATTAAAGAAGAAAATGGAAGCCATTATTACCCTTTAGAAAAAATGTTCAAACAATTTTCGGTTTAACTACGTTAAAAATAGCATAAAGGTGCACCAGTGAAATGGTCATAAAATAAAGGTACTAAAAACTACTGTAGTGAATTCCTTCCTTTTAAAATGAATGCACCAAATGCACGAAATTTTTTGAAAGCAGCCATCACCACGAACACAACCACCCCGTAGGTTGGCAGAGGAAATGAAATGACTTTCTTCCAATTTCAGTATGGCTTTTGGCCATTACGACTATATGCGGGCGCGCGGTACCATGCCATGTCAGTCGATGGGTTAATGCTAGCAATAAAATAGCTTTTTATCGCGCGGCACCCTTCTGAAAAGAAAGTTATGATGAGAATAGGAAAACCACCTCTTTTCTGAATTTCTCGATTTTGTTGTTGTTCTTTATTACATAGACAGCGAAGTAGATCAGCGAACCGCTGACTGGTGTTATAGTAGCCTTGACTGGTTTTTGTGACGTCTTAATTACCACTCACATTAATTTGCAATGATTTTCATGCTCAAAGCTTTTTGCAAAGAGTAGAGAAAGCTTGCGATTTTTTTTAAAGAATGGTTATAAACAGGGCAGATCGTTAGTAATTAATCATTTAAATAATGATTAAGATTAGGGATTAATCATAATCACTGATCATGATTTTTTAGAGATTAATCATTGATCATTAATCTTAATCATATTCATATTATATTTCAATCAAAATCGTTGGAATCGAACTAATCAATGAATTATCATTCATCGGTAAAGAAAATCCTCAGCATATGGGTGCATATGCACCCCAGGTCACTTTGAAACAATGCTATAAGAAATTAAAGTAACACACCGGTTTCACTGTCACAATACCTTCAAATATGATAAAAATAAGTTGTTTAAGCTGAATTGAGATTCAATTCTTGGCATACTTTGAGTTATTTTAAGTCTTAAAGTCGTATTTTACGGAATTGGAAACCTGGAGTGCGCATGTACCCTATTACATGCAAAAATGTTGTACTGCATGATCACTAGCACCGCCTAGCGGTAGAATTCCACGTTGCTCTGTCCACCTCCCAGTAGTTTTTCGCCTCCTGATCAACTTTGCCCAAGACGTCATTCGGTCATTGTATAATCAGGATTTTGAGATACAGCAGTTCAGAATTTGTGCATGTGGGATGCTCAGTATCGCTGCCTAGCAACAGAATTCTGGATTTATCTGTCCACCAACCAACAGACCTTGACCTTCTGATCAACTTTGCTGATACCCTTGGAGATCTTCTCGTAATTTCTTTTGAATTGCACATCAGAACCCTCTTGAAATTCTTCTCAGAACTTATTCGGAATATTCATTCAAATTGGAGCTTAAATCTGATAGAGTTAGGGAAACACGTCTGCTTGGTAGTAGTGAACGTTTAAGAATGTTTTATTGCTTATAAACTAATTGACATGGCTTGCAACTTCAAATTGCTTCTTCCATCACTCCTCTTAAACGCTTCTTGTACAGTAATTGGAATATGTTGCTGCACATCAAAGTCCTTTAGCCGTTTAAGTAGCCATAGTAGTTCCTGGCAACACTCAGCCAATGAGATGTACTTGACCTCTGTACTGGACAGTGCTACACAGGATTGCTTCTTTGCCGCCCAGGAAATTGTTGCACCACCAAGCTGCAACAAAAAATAAACCGAATTCGATTTACACAGTATTTTGTGCCCAGTCTGCATCTACAAAACCAATCAGCGCTTCGTTGCATCCTTCCAAATACAGCTTCCCGAGTAGGAGAAAATAACTAATGAATTCCTTTTTCTGATCTGATATTAAAATTTGGTATTGACCAGCATGACATGAGAGGTAAAATACCAAAGAATAATACAAAAAAATTACATGCAAAATACTTTGTAAATACCAAAAATTGATATTTGGATACTAAAAGAATACCTGGGTGGTATTGTTTTGGTATTGTATTATCATAATTTGATATTGGAATGGTATTGTGGGAACATTTTTTTGGTATTTTACCTCTGACATAAAACATAAGGCTCATCCATACCAATTTAAGGTATCGAGATATTGTTCCTGCTCGGGTACAGCTCACTGGTACTGCTATTATAGCGTAAGGTCCTTTTTGCTTCTGTCCAGACAGCTGTAGTGGGATGACTAACTTTTCTGGCAATCGTCCTTGGATGACAGATCTTCACACTCATCCGACATCTACTGTAGAAAATAAGGCTCCATCGACACTTTTGATAGTCGGACATCCTCCATTTGGAAACGAATTGCATGTTAATTGATGTTCGTCCGTTGATTCAATGTGCAGCCGTATCTGGTTTTCTACACTTGCATATTAAGAAAATGCTTCACATTCCCCAGAACTTTTAACGTGAAGTTCTTCTCCAGATGCGAACTAATATTCTAATATTCATCCTGTCTTGACGCAGCAACGAGTATGTCATCATAAATCTAGATAGAGCTGGAATTAGGGCGTATCAGCCTTTGTAAACAATGACTTCTCTCATTGATTTGCACGCCTACACAAACCAACATGTCCATCGAGTAGGGCAAGTCTTTCCCTACTCGATGGTGATGTCGATTTGTCAGGGAGAGCCATGACTTTCGAGAAATCCTCGAGAGGAGTCATTGTTTACAAAATCTGTTACGCGCTAATTCCAGCTCTATCTAGAAATCATAAATGAGGACAAAACAGTGACGCACGTCAGCAGGGGTCAGCTTCTGAAAGCTTAAATCCGATCTCTTTGAAATATGTATCGATCTGCTTGTTCTACATCCTAGCCGATTGCTTGAGTCCGTAAAGACTTTTTCTTCAAGCAACACACTTTTCCATCGTTTGTATCAAAACCAGAAGGCTCCTTCATAAGAATTGTCTCGATCGTCGATGTGTTTCACGAGCAGATTTCGCATCCCAGCAACCGCCAAGAAGGTGTTTAGTGTCACCTTTTTGGCAAGTGGAGCGAATACCTTGTCATAATAAGTTCCATACTTCTGCTTAAAACCTGCCTA